TTCAAAGGAAAAATGAAAAAATTCAAAATTTTAAATATACAATTTGAATTTGGAATTTTATAGCATTATCGTCTATATTTTTAGTTCCATTTTTTTCTTTTCTCCATGAAAATGATCTAATGCAGATCTTCTGTTCGCGTAAACATCGCAAGTATATTCAATTAGCGAAATTAGCATAGCAAAACAATAGTACGTGTTTACGAGTATTAAGAGAATTTAACGTCTTTTCATGGAAGACATGAAACGACACGTTCGAACGCTTTCTATTTGGAAAAGATTCCTTTGACCTGTCGACGTTCATTGTCCCCAGGTATGCAAATTCTAGGGCCACCTTTATGTGTGATAATTCAAGTTGATGAGTGTATACACGTACAGGCATCAGTTAAATTATAAAGTATATAATTACAGGATATTATTAAAAGAAATTATTCATAAACTTAATCAAATGAAAATTTAAAAAGTTTCTTCTCCATTTTCTTCTCAGTCGTATCTCAAAAAAATGAAGAGAAAGAGCTTCCATTACACAATTTTCCAAGACAAACTACTAATTTAATATGAAAAAGTCACACAATACCATAATGCACAAGAAAGTACGTATACAGTAACTATAACACATCAGGAAAAAAAGTTTTTTTTAAATAATAAAGCGTGTACACATATTCCGCAAAAGCGAAAGGTAAAGGAGTGTGAACGTCCTTTGAACCGGTTCGGTTCAACGTCCATGGTCAAGGCCACCATATTCTCCATAGAAAATTACGGAACAAGTACAACGCTTCATAAACGTAATATATCTCTATTCAACAGCAACTGTTTAACCTTTTCCTTCTTTTTTTTACAAAACATTCACAAAGAGATCTTATTACGTAGTATAATTGCTTCGTAACATTTCACGTAGGAATAATAACTTTTTTTTCAAAAACGAAAAATCCACTCGTCCTTCTGTTTTTAGCTTCTTCCTGCTTCACGTTTATTGCAGCCATAATTTCCCCGGAAATTTCAACTTCACGATGAATAAAAAGTCGTGTGCTCTCAAGGCTGACGGCCAAGTTCGCGAAGAATAGCCAAACAGTGTGTCATTTAGTCTATGAGTTCATTCTTTTACCTTTACAATAACCATAATTCTTTTTTCCCTTATTTTCAAGCGTGCTCTACATCGATTGGAGCGATTATATCGATGAAACTTTCCACGCTCGAATTCTACGTATGATTACAATCTTGCAAACTAGAAATTTCCCATCTATAATTATGTAATAACGCAAACTCGAACGATGAGTATTAATCATTTACAATTAAATTTGCATGACCTGTGCGTCATAATGCGTAACCAGTTATGCAAGATTGTTCAACTTTTCAGATTCTTAGATATTGGAAAGTCGAACGTTTATATTTCTGTTCTGCTGCTTGTTAAGTGCCCGAGAAAGCGTTTAACAACGTATTTTCTAGTAAAACGTTGTTTAATCTTTGATTATAAACGTGTTATTGTAACGTTAATTATATATCGCGTGACATCATATTGTAACGCAATGGTAAGAGTTTGTAATTAACGAAACGTAATATGGACTTAGGTAATTCTATATTGGAGCGATTCAGGATGCGTCAGTTAAGCAGGTAGCATATTTCTCTTGTCGTTTCCGGTCCACGTTCGCCAGGAAATCGAGGATTAGCCTCATCACCGTTTCGGGAACCATCCTGGAAGCCATAAACGGCCATCGAAGATTTTAGGATCATAAGAACGTTGAATTAGTCTTAAGGATATGATTTAATGAAGAGATAAACAAATTTTCATACTTATTAACTAATTTTTGAATGTTTCTATTCAAATAGGAAATTTTAGAATTAAAATAAATAGCTTTTATCGATCATACATGAATTTAGTTATGAAGAAAGTAATTCCTAATTTTTATCTTATGGAATTATCCTAGAATTTTGCTTGAAATTATAGTATTAATGTTGAGATAAGGGAAGTATAAAGTACCTGTTGATAGAATTCAATGTAAAGAGACACCTGGGGATAGAATATTCTGTATAATTCCTTCTGATTGCTTTAATTATCTCTCCAGCCGCGTATTCTGGCGATACAATTCCAAATATACAAGGAAACCTGCCATAAACGTCGCACATTTCGATAACAAGTTATTTGATTTCGGCAATGTCAAACTAACGTCTCGTGAACTACGATTTACCTATACTTTGGATCCCTGGCTAGTCCAGTGTCCACGTAAAAAGGATAAATAGTCGTAAATCTAACATTAGTAGACTTAGAGTCCAGTCTTAATTCTTCATGAAGGGCCTCCATCAGTCCTGTTGAAGATCAACATATGTTCCGTCTCGTTTGAATACTTCTCTAAACAAGAATTTACTCAGAAGGACACGAGTATCGAATTTACATAATTCGTGAATAATTTCTAACTGTTTCAAGAGTTTTGGAAAATATTGGTGTAATGTTTTTTATTAAAAAATTTATTCACCTCTGATGGCGAATTTAGAGGAGCAATAGGCTACTTTCTGGGACACCCCGTATATGCCACACATGCTGCTCACGCAGACTATATGTCCTCTTCTATTATGTATCATGTTCGGCAGAAAAGTTTCTATCGTCTGTTGAAATAAATAAATTCTGATGTACGATCTTTGGTGTTCATAATTCTTGAATTTTATGCGAATAATTCGACGAATAAACGCACCCAGAAGTTCGACAGGACATTGACACTGAATGTCTTCTCTACAAAATCCGAATCTTGTTGAAGAAAGGAGCTATGATATAGTACAGCTGCATTATTAATCAGGATGGACACTTCTGGCACGCCCACTTTCCTCATCAACCTCGCGGCTTCTCGAACCTCGAGCCTCTTCGATACATCGACCGCGAAACCATAAACCTAGATGATATTTTCTCATTATAACCTTTTAATAATTATTATTTTTCTCAATTTAAAGAAAAGAAAATTTTTTCACCCATGAAAAATTATTTGGACACCCTATATTGTTTATGTAAAAGAATTTTAATTAAATTTTTTATTTGTATCATTTTGGATCTTCTCTTACTTCCCCGCCATTTTTCGATATCGTGCTCATCGTCAATCGATTCGCCTCGTTATCTGCGTCCCAGCAGACGATTATGCAACCCAGAGAAGCTAATTGAATAGCCAACTCGCGACCAATTCCGTGTCCAGCACCGGTTATCTGATCATATACGTGACACGAGAATGTGAATGTTGCAATTCCATAATAAATAGTGTTTTCATTTACCAGTACTGTCTCTCCTAATAAATTCTTTGCTCGAGGTGGTATAACCATCTTAAACGTGGCCACTGTCATGGCAAAAGTGATCTTCACGGATAAAACGAAAATATCATAAAACAGACGTAAATGAGAAAATCTAAAAATATTCCTTATAATTGACATTCTTAATTCTTGCTTTAAGAGTTCCTCTAAAATTATCCAATTAATCGTTAAATACTCAAATCCCTTGTTATTCAAACTAAGTAAATAGCAATTTACGAAATACTACGTATACGAAGTTAGTCAAATAATAAACCAATTTTCTATTTTCCATCCAAATGCAAATTCAGCTCGTACTTTCGCGCGTCTACTAAACCATTAAATAAGCAAAACATAGAACCGCTTAAGCTACATGTAATGTGCGTATCTCAATAGAGCGGAAATTGTGAACTGCTCATTTCAGTACCTGTGAAAAGTGCATTATTTCCATGTAATATTCAGAGCGTTCGGAGTTCGAACGTTAAAGATCAAATTTCGCTAGCAATTGAAGAATGGAATCATTAGAAAGGATTAGGAAAAAACTTCAATTTATCGAGCATAGTTATATTATTTCAGATAGCCAAAAATCCCATAGGGTTTCTTACCTAGGTCGATTACCTGATCAGTGAAAGGAAGCATTCTGGTCCTTCGTGGCGGAGAATGTTTTTATTCTTTAATATCCGTGATAATAACGTCGATTTCTTGACTCGACAATCGCTTTCTTTCTTTGTACGTTTAGTTCGTTAAATGTGATCGTCCGTCATGGACATACGCGGGATAGAAGTGACGAATCAATTGCGGGTAAGTAAAGGATTCTGGGTTTTACTCGGGTATATGTACACTTTTCTATCCACCTAGTTGTGTTCAATAGCCTTCAACGATGAATTTTGAAGGATTATCGATATTCTTTTATTTAACATTTTTACAATCGTATTGTATCGTTGTTATTCAATTTCCGACAATTTACGGATTTACAATTATGGGAGTTTTGGGGAATGGAAAAATTGCGACATTCTTAATATGTCGTTTCATTAATTTTGTGATAGATTTCCATACGAATTTCACTTAAGTATAGAAAGTATAAAAAAGTAAAGATGGAGATATTGAAATTTCAATGAAAAGTAAATTGGATTAAAATAGATAATTTGCAGAACAGAATTGTGTGTTTCTTATTGTGATTTCTATATATTATAGACAATATATTAAACAAATTTTGTTGTTCTTTCTTTTTCAGAGTGCTATTCGTGCAAAATTGCTGGAACTAGGGATACGGTACGATGAGGAGTTACCAGATTATATTTTAGTAATGGTTGTAAATAAAAAGTCTCGCCAGCAGATGCATGAGGACCTGTACTTGTTTCTGGAGAACTGTACAACGCCATTTGTTGATTGGTTGCATGACCAGGTGCTGAAGAAACTACAGAAGGTCACTGTAGCGAAGAAGAAATCACTGAGAGAGTTTGTGCCTACAGTTGTTGTCAAGCAGGAGGAGGAAAGGAAAAAAAGAAAGACATCGACTACTTCTTTCTTGGAAGATCAGCTTGCTACTCAGACTGTTGAGAAATCTTCCAATAAGAATGTGAAAGATGACAAGTCATTCCATAAGCAAAATACAAAAATGTCCATATCTAGTCAAAAATTGGACACAAGTCAGAATAAGAGTGTAGATAAGTCAGTGAAAGGTACCAATCATGAGAATAAATCAGATGGTACGTCAACTGTTACTGTTGTTTCTCAACAATCTGTATCAAAAAGAATACAGATAACTGATAGTCAGAATGTAAATATCAATAAAGAAGTTCCATCTTTTGAAACTCCCAATAATAAATCTGGAGATTCTCATTCTGATACAAAGGTGGATGTTTCGTCATCTAGAAATCTGAAAAGACCATTGGACACTGCAAATAATTACAGAGAGAATTCAGAAAAGAAACAGAATGAAGCAAAGCGGTCCAAAATTGAAGAGGATGCAGAAAGCACTACAGAAGATAACACAAAGAAATTGAAATCTTGTGTTAACAAGCCAAAAGTCACTTCTGTTGTCTCTATTAAAAATCGTTTGGGTGTGGTTTCACCCAGGAAGAAATTTGAAGTTCACAGAGAAAAAGCAGATACCGAAAGTCGGTATAGGCAAAACGAGAAGCGTCTTGAGAAGCATCGGATGGACAACAATCGAAATAATAATTTTCAGAGGGGAAGAAACTTCGATACGGAGGATCGTACGAAGAGGACCCGCGAGATTGAACCGAAATACAATGAATCTGATAAAATTAGTAGCATCAGGACTCGATTAGGCAGTTTTAAAATCGAGAAAGCAGCTAAGAGTGTAGAATTAAGGGAGAAAGTAAATTCTAATCTAAAGTCGAAATCAGCGGAGAAAACTACGGGTACGATTAAGGATCGTTTGGGTATTGCAAGTACTAACAAATCACCGAAACAATTGGGGAGTAAGGAATCTGTGGAGTTCAAGAGCAAGCCTTTGGAGCAAGATCGAGATACATTGAGTAACAATAAAAATATAAAGAACAGATTAGGACCACTGAAGAATAATTTTAAGCCAGTAAGCATGAAGAGCGGCTTCAATTCATCTGTCAGGCGTTCTCAGAGCAGTGAGGATGAAGACTACCTCACACTGGGTGCAGAAGAGGAATTGGATGATGATGCACAGTCTTTGGGGAATTCTGGTCCTATCAAGTCCCACATAATAGCTATAAATAAACCTGCTCCAGTGAAAACTGAAAGAAAGCGACCAAGATCATTAGAAAAGGTGAATAAGGAATGCAGCGATCCAGAAGAAAAAGTTGAAGAAACTAAGATACCTAGCAAAGTAATCGTAACACCAAGACCACTGAAACCATTGCAACCTACGCAGAAACGCGCCACGCAATCGCTTCTGTTAAGAGCGGTCGCAGAAGCAAATCAGTCTGTCGTTACGCAAAAGAATCCAGAGCCATCTTTATTGGTGTGTATAAAATGTAATAGATAAATTGTACAATATTGTTGATGCTCCAAAAGAAAAAAAAATTAATATAATTTTTTTGCAAACCTTAACACGTTTATTTTCATTGAAACACACCTATTGCCACAGGACAAGAAACAAACATTAAAGCATCTTAAACCTGCTGCTGTAAGAGACGTGGGTCAAAATTTGTCGGTACACCTTAATTCCAATAAAAGATTAGTCATGGAGAAAATACAAGTAGAATTGAATACAGACGTTTCAGAGTCGAAATCGAAATCTTGTAAGTATATTATTATTTCTATGCTTGGAGATATGTATAATACCTAAAATTGTTTCTCTAATATATTTAGTATTGTACGGTCTGTAGATGTACCGCAACCGGTCACAGAGGAACACATGGGTGTCGTAATGTCTTTGTTTCAAAGGAGCGACGATAACCAGAAATTCTTAGTCACACTGAATGGATATAATAATAATTTAATGAAAGAGAAAACTACGTCTGACGATGACGAGCGTTTAGAAATGGAGGTAGTTCGTAACAGTCTAAATTATATATTTTTGTACCAAATTGGTTGTTTAGTACCTTATTCTGATAGCTCATGTTTGTAGGTGAACGAAGATGATGAACTTGCCCTTTCGACGATACAAAATGATATATACATACAGAACGAGTCAGAAACTTCTGTCTTCCAAATAGACATGGAAACAGAGGGAGATATAAGTGTAAAGGAAAGAGCAGAGGAGAACAACGAAAACTGTAACACAGAGAATGTAGACAAAACTGAAGAGATACCAAAAAAGAGAAGAAAATTGAGCCCCATTATTTATAACAGATCACATTCACCAAATCCTGCAGATTTAAAGGCCAGCACGTTGTTGACGAGTCCATTATTAACTAAACGTAAATTATTTCATTTCAATAACTTATTTTTCATAAACATTTAATGCTATAAACTTCTCAATGTTTTTTTTTTTTAACGTTTTCAGGTCTAGAGAAGAAACCATTAACAGAAAATACAGTGACAGTGATAGACAAATCAAAGGAAAAGTGTAGATACTGGCCAAATTGTACATTAGGAAATAAGTGCGCGTATCTTCACCCCCTCGTCATGTGCAGGTTCAATTTTTTTTTTATTTAATTTTTTCAATCGCAATTTTTTATAAACTCGTTAATTTTAATTTCTTTTTCAACTTCAGTGCATTTCCAGCGTGTAAATTCGGCGACAAGTGTGCTTACAGACATCCCAAATGCAAATTTGGGTTATCCTGCACCAAATTGGGGTGTGTATTCTCACATCCAGCTAAACAGTGCAAGTACCATCCTTTCTGTACGAAACCAGCCTGTCCATATGCTCATCCAATGCCAGTGGCCGTGGAGACAACAAGCCAAAGGGCGAAATTCACGTGGCGCAGACGAGATTGAGTCACACCGTTGTACAAACGATGTACAAATCCCCTTCTCCTCTAGCGATAGATCGACACAAGCACACGTTGGCGAGAATATCGTTACAATCGAAACTTACTATACGTATATAGGCAGCAATAATTATAGTAGTAGATTAATACTGCCAATTACATTATGTTAGGCGCGTTACCAATAAGTATATTGATTAGCTGTTTACAAAGTATTAAGAGAATCCTTACTTTTTACTCAGAGATCTTACACCATTCATAGATTCATAGTTTCATTTACTGCACACGCATGCCACTTTATCGTAGAATTATTACAATAGGGTAACTTCTATCTACCACCATTAAACATACTTTCTCTATGCTATATTCATTTTTCTATATCGTTGACGGCGATATTCTTGCCAACAAGTGAACAAACGACATTCTACTTTGTACAAACTAACGGGTGTACGTTTCGATCGTAAATCTGGGTCGAAATTACGATGTTCGACCCTCCCATTTATTAATCTGTATCATATATCACACGTCGACTCACCAGAGAGTTTGCATTCGTTGATTGACCCATTATTATTATTATTATTATTACAATTGTAGCTCTATTCGTTCCTGTTGTTGGGCTACGGGCACAATTGTACCATGTTTTACCAATTTTTTTTTCCCTCGTCGGTTCAGTTGAATGGATCGACGTTTTGTTTTACTCGTAGCGTTTAAGGAGGCATTGTATTGATTAGACATTAACGCGCTTTTTGACAAGTAAAAAAAAAACATACATATATATATGTATGTATGCATAGAATTGTATGATTGTTGAGCGAAATGTGTTTTTGGTTCATTATTCTCGCCTTATTAGTTCAAAGGCAACTCTATTCTCTTTCTTCCTCTCTGTCCGCATTCGAAATTATCATGAGCTCTATTTATTACTCGATGGCTGTGCAATATAATCGTCATAATATGATTTCTACTCGAACGATTAATGAAAATGATAAGATGGTTCGAGAGCCGATGGAAAAGAAAAAAAAAATATAAATCATCAATTCTTTTTTCTCTTTCGCGTAATTTATAATTTATACTATTATCGTACGTGAGTGTAGTATAAACCACATTTCAAGCACTTTATCGATTCGTTCAATACACCATTGAGAAAATTGAACACACACTAATCAACCTGTTAGGCATTAACGAGGATATAAATCTTGTATAAACGATTATAAATACACGGTTATATCTGTAAATTTTAAGTAATTCTATTCATTGAATGCCCCCTTTAAAAAAAAAAAAAAGAAATTCACTTTGACAAATTCTTAAAGAGGAAAAAGAAAAAAAATCATTCGATCATTTTCGATAATCAAGATCAAATTGTTCAAGTATCGTCAAAGGTACCAAAAAAAAAGAAGAAAAATAATTCCCCTTTAAAAGGAAATTCCACAAATATAAATTCTTTTTCTTTTTTTGATTCTAAGTATCAAAGGTACCATAAAAAGTCCTCCATTAATCTGAATTGTTATATAATAGCGACACTTGTGCTGAATCTTCACGATAAACCCTGCATCTGTGCACGCATACACGTACCCTTGATTCGTTGTGCCCGCTTTGCAATCTTAAAAGGCTTTCCTCTACCTGTGCAACAATAACTGACCTATATTATCGCGACTGGACAACTACCGTTCAAAGAATCATTGTAAGGAATACAGCTGATGGAACAATGAAACCTCCACTTATCTTCGGAGACAATAGGACAGGAAAATGGTACCTCTGTGAATTGTTCCACATTTATTGTCCATGTACGAGCATTTTTCTCCTTGTTTTTCGTAAACTGTTTTCCTACTTTGCAACATTATTTTCGTTCGAGATGACATCACGACGGATTAGAGGGAATAGAATAACAATCTGTACAAATAAAAGATGACTCATGCAAAGGGTTCCTTTCCTACCGAAAGTGTACCACAAGAGGAGGAGATCGACAGAGAAAAATGTTTCTTTGAACTTTGAACCTCATTCGACGTCCCTTTCAACACCGATCGCAATATTTTTCTTTTTTATTCTCGAACATCGATACCTTTAATATACTAACGCGACAAATTCATGAAAATAATTCTAAAGTAAATTCCTTCTTCGTTTTCCTTGAATGTGGAATATCGACACGTTTGGGAAATACTTGCCAAACTTGATCGAAATAAAAATATAAAAAATATGTTGGAAATTTTTCAACGAATTATCGACGGGCAAACATTCGTAGGTTAAATAAAAAATTTGAGTGGACGTGATGGCCATAACGTGACGATAATATGCTCTATAAGAAAATTTCAGAAAATACCCTGTCGTTGTGGATGTATCCTCCGAGCTTATCTTATCTCACGAATTGACACGGTGTCTCTCGTCGTAGCTCTTCGTAATTCCGTCCAGTTTTCTTCTGGGGCTCGTGGCCAGCTCAACGAATCACGTGAAACCGCACACGATCTCCACGATCTCCAACTTGGGGCAATAATTAAAGTAAAGTTCCTTCGTATCTTCGAAATTAAGCCTCTATCTCGGTTCTGAACACTGTCGATCGCGATTTCCATCGAGATAACTTCTCACCACAAGTACGTGACTGCTCGTTCTTCTGGACTTCTTGATGCTTTGCTCGTTTTTCAAGAAAAGGTACGTATTTTTTCAATAATAATCATCCTTATTAACTTTTCACACTTTTTCCTTATTTTACATGCGATTTTTTTCCCCACAATATTCAAGTTCTTATGTTCTGTTGCTCATTTTTTTTTTATGAGAGGTTTAATTAATACACCCAATTAGTGGACCAAAACCGAGTGGTAAGAAGATAAGAATTCTTTTATACTATTTTTTTGACCTACTCGTTAATTTACTTTTTATGGAATATTCGATTAATTCACTCGAACCGTTTAAAATCTTGCATTAAAATTTCTTTCGTATACCAAAATTATACCAGAATTTTTCCCTTGCAATACATATATTCCAAAATCTGAATCCTACTTCTCGCGAAATAAACTCAACGTAAGAATTCTTTTACGCAATATTTGCACGGTCGTAATTTCTTCATTCTAGAATATTTAGTTAATCGACTCAAATCCATTTACAATCTTACGTTAGAATTTCTTTCGTACACCATAGCGATAGCCTCTATATTTCATTTCTTCCGGAAACGTTTAATTAGTGGACCCAAATTATTTCCAAAATTAAATCAGAATTTTTCTCTTGCAATACTTTAAAATAATACCCTTCTCAGTTTTATTTCTCCTTGAAAAATTTAATTAACGGACTTGAAATGAAGAGGTGGACCAGCAGTCGGTAAGTCCCCGCGATAAGAAAATCCGATTTTTCTCTTGGTTTGATTGGCGGACGATGACAATGAAACCAAGAAAGAAGGGAAATTGTTGGCAGGAAAGGCTAACAATCGTGTACCTTTCTGCCGAAAGGTCTTTTGTCCGCGAGAGAGGGAGAGGGGAGATCCGTTGTCGCCCTTCTTTCGTGGGGTGGTTGTCGCAGGTCGTATAAAGCGGACACGAAGATTATCCTGATCATTAAGGGCCTGCAGACCTGCTGGTGACGTCGTTCGCGAGGTACAGAAACGAGACCAAACAAAAAGACCGACTTGAACTGCGTGATGGGCATCGAGAGTGCATCAGTGAACGAGGTAGTGATTTTATCTTCATCTTAACATCAGTTTTTTTTTTTGTAATAGTTGATCAATATTTATCGATCGATACTTTCGATTTATAACTCGAATAAATCAGGTGGTGAAAGCCTCAGAACTGACATTGTTAGTACTTAGAAATTTCAAGGATTAAACGATTGTCTTCATCTAACGATGAAGGTAAATGATTCATAGTGTTTCTTGTGTTGAAATTTTTATTTATTGGTTGTTAGTAACTGTTAGAAGTATGGAGGAAGAGAATTTTCTGTTTACTAGAATATCGATTATGTAAAATCTTGAATTTTCTAAATTTAGAGCTCTCTAGGATCTACTTTTCGACCGCCATATTGATGTTTCACTATCTTTTCCAATTGCACCGTGAAAGCGTCGTTTGGAAATTCACGAAAATGGATCAGAGATCTATGGATCCTTAATTTTCCATATTTATTTATATTATTAAATCACTCGGTAGTTTCGTACTAGTCTTCCATCGACTTTTCTTCTCAAGAAAGTCATATTACTTTAAAATTCACGAAAATGGATCAAAGATCTATGGATCCTTAATTTTCCATATTTATTTATATTATTAAATCACTCGATAATTTCGTACTAATCTTCCATCGTCTTTTCTGCTTGAGAAAGTCATAATACTTTCAAATTCACGGAAATGAATCAGAGATCTATAGATCCTTAATTTTCCATATTTATTTATATTATTAAATCACTCGGTAGTTTCGCACTAGTCTTCCATCGACTTTTCTTCTCAAGAAATTCATATTACTTTAAAATTCACGAAAATGGATCAAAGATCTATGGATCCTTAATTTTCCATACTTATTTATATTATTAAATCACTCGATAAGTTCATATTAAAGGGAGTGATACTATTTGTAAGTTTATGAAAATGGTTCAGAGAGCTTAAAATCTTGGAAATATTTCAGAAACACCGCGGAGGTGTCGCAGACATCCCAGAATGCAGGGAACAAACCGACCTGGACACCGAGTACCGGGATTTCCCGGAGGAAAAGATCTGGAGTCCAAAGGAGGAAGTGAACGAATGGGTTCCCCTCTACGTTTTCATGGCTCGTTCTGTTTTGACATTCGTGCAAGAGAGCCAGGGTATTTCCAACAGAGAAGCAATGGAGAACTCTTGCACGGGATACGCGGAGCAGTACATCACGGATGTTCTTCACGACTCCGAGTATATACCGGAAGTCGCGCTGAAGACGCTGCTCACGAAAGAATTGCCAAGAAAACTAGTTTCAAAATGGACGCCACAAGACACTGTGAGTATTTTACGATGCAATTTTTCCAGATATAAAAATCTTCTACAATGTAGTTAATAATACAGTGTGTAACTAAAGTTTCTAAACTGTGAGTTTAATAATTTATTATGGTAGAATGGGAGACAATAAAAGTGTCTTTCTATGGTACACTAATTCAGATATATGCTTTTTATTACTAAAACACTTAAACCTGTCAAAACGACGGATTTCTGTATTTATATACTTTAAATTATAGAGATTATTAAAATGCTTGTGTCTAAGTGTACGATGACTTTGGTTGAGATAAAGAAATAGATGCCCACAGATGATCTATAGAAGATCTATAGAATAAATAATTGATAGAAGAATAGATAAGAGTAGACGTGAAAGATAACTTATAATATGTCAATTTATTTTCCATTAACCATTTTAATTTTGAAGTTCTGTATATCGTATACCTAAATACATACATCAGAATGGAAAAAATGTACTACGTTCAACGACATTGCTGTTCCAGCGTCAAATAAGTCAAATTGTCTAAAATGTCTAAAATTTAAAAAAAAAAGGTGTCAGTACGTGAATGAAACTATTAGTACCTACTGTACAATTGTAAAAAGAAGGTATCAATACGTAAATCAAACTATTGATAATACACGTATCACTGAATAATTACTTCTCGCGAAGCGTACTGATTCATAGTTTTAAGTCAGATAAAGTAAATTGATTATCGCGATAAGAGAGTGTTCTGAGTCTTCTTGCAGTATTTTTCAACAAGTTCACGTTGCTTCGTTTCTCTATTGGAGGATGATGTGTTCTAATTGTCTTCGTCACGGTTGCTGTTGCAGGAACTTTTCATCAAAGGAATTTCGAAACATGGGAAGGATTTCACGAGTATTCAGAAGGAACTTCTTCCACAGAAGGACATGGTACGTTGCGATTTTCTTGTATTATTTAAACAAATTATCCGAATAGAAAAATTAACTTCGTTCTTTTATACATTTAGCCACGATGCTTTTCTATATTTTCATAGATTATACATATATTGCTTTCGCACAGTGTTGGGCAAAAGTTATTTGGAATAACGAATAAATTCGAATTACTCGTTCTTCGAAGTTTTGAAATAAAAAGGAGAAATAAATTTCTTTTTCTCGATGAATTTTATTTTTCGACTTAAGTACTACTCTTCTCAAACGCCTCGTCGGAAATCTTGTGGGAGCAAGGTAGATTAACTATAGTAGGTTAGGAGAACTTTGTGAAAGAATGAAATTCGTTATTCGAATAACGCCCAACACTGCTTCGTACAATCTTTATTTACGAACCTATGAATAGATGGGAAATATCGTAGCTAAATAAAAGTACCAAATTAATTTTTTAGATTATTCTTTACTCCTTTTTAAATACACTCCACTTTTTGCAAATTTTTTTAACTTCCTCAAGGTTTTCGACATTTCATCAGCCTCTTCAGTAACTTCTTTTCTTAAGTTCTTGAATTTCTGAGTACAAATATAAACTGAAGAAAAATGATCTTCCACGATATACGTTTCAACGAAGGCTTCACATTCAATTTTCCCATAAATGCAAATATCAATTCATATCACCAATTTCTTTCAATTTTTCCAAAATGTTTCTCTCATCACTCGACACATGCCACGTAACATTTGGAAGCAGAACTCCCATTAGGCGCAGAAGAATACTCTTGGATTCAAAACTCAAACAAGATACGCAGGAAAGTAGGTTAAAGTGATAAAGAACATAATTGACAGTTTCCTATCAATATTTTAATGTGACATTTCGACCCCCTTTTCAAATTCCTCCGAAACTCGTGTTTTTCATCCGTAGAAAGTGTTAATCAAGTTCTCAAATATTCGTTGAAATTACAGAAGGACATCGTAGACTTCTACTACGCCTGGAAGTGGTCAGAGCCAGCGAAGGAGTTCAGAAGTTGTCGTCGCAGGCGTCGTTCCAACTCCAAGCGACGCTTCCCATCGATCGGCTGTATTTTCGGCGAGCTATCGTCCCCGAAGATCGTCACGCGCAGCGTCGCCGCTGCCTCGAGGCTCTCCCTCGAGAAGAGCGGGCAAATCCTCGGCGTGGCGAATCCCACGGAGTCCTCGAACGTGGTGGCGAAGAGGAGGCGAAATGGTTCGCTGGTTGTTCGATGATAATCGCATAATTGATCGCTGTGAGTGGACTACAGCTTTTGAGACTGTTATAATATAGCGTTGGTATTCGACGTTGAGGAACTTTGGAGCCATTTTACCAGATTGACACGAACCAACAAAAGCAAAATGGTGTAGCGAGAGTATTTTCAGTTGAAAGTACGAGACTATGATGGATTCTTGAGATGTTTACGTCGAAGAGAGAGGTAGAGAAGGTTTTTGAAGATTCTGTTATAGAAAATGGCACATGGAGATCTTATATTGTTAGTTAATATCGGATGTATCTTAACCCTTTACCATTTCAAGCCGTTTTCAATTTGGAGAATTGGAAATTCCGAGCTATTTTTCTTTTTTATTTCAACATTTCTGTAATAATAGGAGAAAGTTGAGTAAAATTGGGTACCTTAATATATTTTCTTCTGGTAACCACAAATCAGAGGGGAAAGAACTCTACACGTTATCACCAGTCTTGCATAATTAAAAAATGAGATTTGTTGTTTGAAAAGAATTATTTTGGCCACTAAGAGGAACAGGATTTTCTGGAAATGTTGAAATACTCAGTTTTGCTTCATGGATGGGGTAGAATTGTCTGCAACATTTAGTGCAATTACAAAATCTTTATTTCTATCAGTTAAGAATTAGTCAAAATTATTTGAACTTCTTCAAATCTCAAACCTCTTTGGATTTTAAATAAATATAAAATTCGTTGCAGAATATGCAGGCTTCGTTAAGATATTTCTCTCACGATGAGTTCTCTTCTTGATGATGTTTTTCTTTTTCTTTTCCTTTTACCACATATCACAGCTCTTATCACAGAGATACCCGGTTTTATCCTACTTTCCCCTATGCAGGCTGTCCCAGATTTTCCGATCAAACTTTGTAAGTCCATTCAATGGGTATATAAATAAGAAAAAAAAACAAGAGGAACAGGATTTTCTGGAAATGTTGAAATACTCAGTTTTGCTTCATGGTTGGGGTAGAATCGTCTGCAACATTTAGTGCAATTACAAAATCTTTATTTCTATCAATTAAGAATTAGTCAAAATTATTTGAACTTCTTCAAATCTCAAACCTCTTTGGATTTTAAATAAATATAAAATTCGTTGCAGAATATGCAGGCTTCGTTAAGATATTTCTCTCACGATGAGTTCTCTTCTTGATGATGTTTTTCTTTTTCTTTTCCTTTTACCACATATCACAGCTCTTATCACAGAGATACCCGGTTTTATCCTACTTTCCCCTATGCAGGCTGTCCCAGATTTTCCGATCAAACTTTGTAAGTCCATTCAATGGGTATATAAATAAGAAAAAAAAATGTTGCGTAAACGTACGTCGTTTGAAGCTTTATGAAAAAGTTACAGCAAAAATACTATATTTACTATCTGCATTTCGTACTTTTTAACCAAACTTCAAACGACTTACGTTCATATAACATTTTTTCCTCACTCACTGACAAAGTTTGATCGAAAGCAATCAGTACACCCGGTATGTATAAATATTCGAGTGTAAAGGGTTTATATATTTTAAGACTCGAACTAAGGAGAGCATCCTGGAATAATTGTACAATAATTTAATTCTTTAATATTCCTTTTCCTGTATATAATATCCTTCCTGATCTGCAATATATGTACATAAATAGTTGAAAAATCGTTGGAAAGAACGGTTGTACAGAGGGTGAACGATTAAAAAAGAAGAGGACGAAGGGAGAGATTTTTTAAATATTTCACTTTTTATTCCATACGATCGGTGTCATTAAATAAAATTCTTCGTAATTAGATGCTAGCACACTGTAAGATTGTAACGGCGAGAGACTTGCTCGGTTTCTCTGGTTCACCAACATGGCGTAACATGAACACGGCACGTGTGTATGTGTGTTTTTGTGTGTGAGAGAGTGAAGAGCAATGGCGTGGCGCGAAAACGTAACTCGCGTGTCGTTTTCTCGTGCTTCCGGAGTAATCCTGTTCCAGCTACATTCGCGCTATGGCACATTCGTTTTCTCCTCGTCTTCTCGACGCTTTCACCCTTCTGGGGGGGACCAGGGCAGAGCAATTTTGTCATTTCGAATCAATCGAATGAAATCGCAATTTTCGCCGAACTTAAGCTGAAATTTCAAACATTCTATTTAGTTTGCTTTTTTCTTTTTTGCAACACAAATCCTCCGGTAGAACTCTTTTTTACGGAAGAATTAAAATAAAATTGCAATTGTTGACGAACTTAAACCGAAATTCCAAACTGCCTATCTTTTTTTCTTCTTCTTTTACGAGATAAATCCTTTTGTGCAATTTTTCGAATTGAAACAATATTAGACAGATTTTATGTTAAGGTTTATGGAAAAAAAAAATGTCGAGTATTTCCCATATTTCCACAGTATTAAATTAAATCACACTTTGATCCGTGAATGGACAGTTCTCAATGTGTCCAATTAAAAGAAATATTAAACGATGACTCGAAGAGAGGACAAAGGTTCACATCGGACGACAAAATGGCAAAAGCAGCGTGGTCGTCGACCCCCAAAAGGTTAAAGACGAAGATGTCAGCTACCATTTAAGGCCACGTGCAGGCTGGCAACAAAAGCTCGACGCGACGACTTCTCCCTTTGTTCGACGGAAGTTTGCAAAGAACAGCTTGTAACGTTTCGCTCTTCTTTCTGACCTTTCTTTCTCTCTCTCCCCGTTCTTATAATCTTCACATCTCTCTTATTTCAATTTTTCATCATTAACACATAGCACTTTTTCCTTTCAAAATAAAAGTTCCACGAGATTTTGTTCAACTAGCCTGCACGTGGTCGAAGATTCATCTAGATCAGTCTAGGTCTACAATGTGGACAGTTTCGACGATCTCGATCGTTCATGGACGCTTATCACAATTATGTTCAAGAGGCAGTATTTTTTTGTAAAGAATATACGGTTCCGCTATGGGGAAGTGCTTTTTTTCTTCTTTTTAATTTCACTGAACCTCGCGGTGATCTTTTGGTTGCTGATCGTTTGAGAATTTGTATAAGTTGTTCGTGTATTTGTGTGTATTTATATATAGTAAGGTAACACGATCGAAAAATTGGTTATTTTCGTCAACCCTTCGCGCTTGAAAAATCGTAATCTCTTCTGTATTTAAACTGTGAATAAACCGAGGCCAAAAATTTTAGAATTTCATTAAAAAAAAATTGTAAATAATACCGTAGCCTCGTATGTTTGGGTAATTTTTCTCGATAAAAATCGAAGGAAAATTTATTCAAGTAGCGATTTTTTGTTTAGAATCTAGAAATTTAGAAAATAATTTTTTTTCTTTTTAATCGAATAATAGAAATTGGATATCTAACGAAGTTTATCGAGTGCAAAGGGTTTGAAAAGAGAAAAGGAAACGAGAATTTTCGATTGCACACGCAAGACACACTCTCGCAATCATCACGAATTCCACTAATTTCTCACATATAAATCTTCTCCTCGTCACACTGGGGCACTTTGAAATCCTTCTTCACCTTTTTTTACAACGAATTCCTCTGTCATCATCTTCTCTGTCATCTAAATTTCACTCATTCACGTTAGGCAAAAATTCGAAAAATAATCATCCAACAAAATTGCATAACACATTTACACAGAAAAATTGTCAAGATTCGGTGGATTACATTGTTCCGTTTATATCGATTGCTTCTATTTTGAATCAACGAAAATTAACGAACAAACTCACATTGAAAATTACGAAAAGTTCGAGTTCGATGCTAAGTACACCACCCGAACTTTTCCATCGTTATACGGGAAAACAGTGAACATTCAACTGTTTCTACGGCTAACCATACAAGGGTTACACTCTCACTCTCGTTCCATCATTCTTTCCAATTACGCAAATTCCTTTTGTCCATCAAAAATTCCCACGTTTCGAGCTTCTTCGTCGAATTCTAACAAGGAATTTTCCCACAAATTTTTCTCGCCGTAGTTATCAATAATAACTGATCCATGGATCATACAAAAATGGAACATACAGCGTATTAAATTCGATCCCTCGGTCGATTTTTCCATCGCACTATTTCACAAAGTTTCGTCTTTCTTTTCTTTAAATCGAGTACACTCTACATATGATTGAACATTATTTAAGAAAGATCGATCGAATACGAAATTCACGTTGAATGGCATAGACGGCTTGGCTAAATGCACTCTTTCATTCACATTTTCTTAAGATAAATTCATAGACAGTTGAGTTCGATCAATTCGAATACAGTGTGAGCTAGTCCTACAAAGAAAAGAAAAAAAGGGTAGAAAATCGTCGGGAAAATCTTGGCTGCCCGTTACTCTTTACAATGGCGAACAACGTAAATACGGTACTAGGAATAATAATAAGAAAACGTAAATGTACTTTACACGAACGTTATTCGACTCAACTCGCTCGATATTTGAATAACAGAAAATGATAAATTCGAAGTATTTACAAATTGAAAATTAACACGTAAATCGACAAAATTTTCTCCTATGTCGTTCGATCAAGTATTCTCATTTTTTCACTCGCACTGTAAGATGTTCAATTTGTAAATATATTTTTGAATTGTCAGAATCGTTGGGGAATTGTCAATGATTTACTCGAGGATTTAACCGTCGATTCTCTATTTTTCGCGATTAATATCGAGAGAGTTGAAAACGAGTCATGCAATGAAGAATTAAAAAAACAGGTCGACGCATCCTTTGATTACAAAGGATCGACTCGACGCTCGTACAAAAAGAGAGAAATCACGAGATACTATTTAGCAATAAGTCACGTTTATTCGACAAGGCTGTTCAAACGTAAGGGCGTTCCTAATTGGCGAACGGAAGGAAGCCCCGTAGTTTCCGGAAAGTCACTTAAGTGGTCCGTAACGCTTCCGCGGTAAAAAAACCCTGTTCCCTGTCTCCGTATCCTTAAATCTCCTCTTTTCACGGGTTGAACAGCACAGTAGGAGACATTGCTACTGATAAATTTCTAAAATTTCGTTATATAAAATACATTTTTTCTTTAATTTTATCTCATTTGAATTTTTCACACGATGAAAAATGATTTCCTAGATTTTTCTAAGTGAGAAACCTTTCTTAGCATAAATTTTAGTAATTCAGAGATTCTGCTTCGATTGAAAAAAATTGTCCTCGAAATTCGCAATTTTCCTTAATTTTATTTCATTTCAATGTTTGATAGAAATTGTAAAGAAAAGATTACAATCCACCGATATATCGTATTTCTCGAAGTAGAAAAATTCTCTTTGCGCAAATTGTAACTTGTGAGATTCTTCTTGCAAAGGTAAAAAATCTTCGTAATTCCCAATTTTCAAGAATCCCCATGCAAATGAAATCTCTATGCGTTAAATTTTGCTCGACTAAAATTGCGTTACATCCATTACGCTATTCAACCCGTGAAAACAAAGAATGTTCTCCCTTTATCCAACAAGAATTCTACGCAAGTGTGCACCAAAGTGTGCACACAAAAAGTTCCCATCCTCTTTCTGTCTCGCGAAGCCACGCGTAGTTCCTCGACGAGTTAAAAACGCGCGACTCCGTGAAAAAACTCACACCACTTACATCCCAAACGCAACGTATAATTTTTTTTTTTATATTAATT